TGTATGTATGTATGTATGTATGTATGTATGTATGTATGTATGTATGTTCTTTCTACACTCTTAAACTATTCGACCGAATTTTTACCAAAAGTATATAAAATAGGGGTAGAATTTTCCGGGGAGTATTATAGAGTGTATAGTTTTTTGTTACCGATCTTTTTGGGAACAGGTATCCGAAATTTTTCCAATTTTTCGGGAAATAATTGACCGAATCTTAAAGAATTGTATATAAAATAAGGGTAGAATTTCCCAGGGAGTGCTATAAAGTATAGTTTTTCGTTACCGATCTTTTTGGAAATCGGTATCCGAACTGATAAAGAAATTTTTTTCGATTATATAAATATTTATATAAATAACTATTCTTACTTTATTACAAAAAATTTTTAAATGTATGGTTAATAGGACATATGAAATATGTATATATCATCTTAGATTATATTATGCATTTTAATATAATAGAAAATAGATATAAAAACTATCAACTTTCAGATATTTCTACACAAGAAAATTATTCTGCTTCGCAGTAAAATATTTACTGGATCTCACGTCATTTTATTTTGTTTTATTTATTGATACAAAGCCAAGAGCTACTAGATGGACAGACTATAAAAGATTAGGATAAAATCGGCATGTTATACATATATATGTTACGCGAGAGCAGTCTCCCGTAAGCACAATAAATCAATAAATGATGGAGCTCTATAGGATTTATTATTCAGCCTAGTCTGATTTAGTCTATCCATTTTAGGGTAACTGATCTGTGACAAGTTGCACTTATCTGCATTATTAGATGAGAATAATACATAAATACACAACTAATATTCACAGATTTATCACCCCATTATAAAAAAAAAGTCACTCACCGATCGATGCGCAACGGGCGGAGTTATTCAGCCACGTAGCTACGATGATTCTGTAACACAAAAATGAAAGATTCAAATTAAATAGACGCTGAAAATAATAAATGTTTCAAAAAATACTTTCTACATACGTCTAATTCGTCTTTTAATTACATTTACTAATATAAATTAATCTATTTCCCGAAACCTTTATGAGAATAAACTTTTATAAAATTTTAGATAAAATTTCGGTCTCTCTAATTATTTGATTATTTCTTACTTATCCGAGATAAATTGGCCCGAATAAATGGGAAAGAACTATTAATTTTAAGATAAGAAATAACACTCACCCCAAAGTTGCTCCGCCGGGGCCCGATGGCTTTGCCAGGCCTTCTCCTCCTCTCAGAACATTTGGGTGGTCAGGCCTTCTCCTCCTACCACTCCTCCTTCCGTTGCACAGGACACTCACGGAATCGCTGTCCAATATTTCGCGATCGAGTACAAAGTAACTGTAATAATACGATCGCGACACTTTATATTAGACACTCCCGAGATGAAACGATCTGCATTCTACGGCGCGCTTCTATTATTTAAATCCGATGATTCACCGAGTTGCTTTTCCCGCTGAGCGCGGCTAACTTCATACCGACGCCGCGCGGCTACAACGCGAGTCGAGTCAACGCTGCAATGGCCGAATTGAAACGGAGCGAACCGTTCGAAGATATACACGCTCGAGACACGCTGCGACACAGCTCGAGTGCATATAAATTCCTCGAGAATTTCACAATTACAAATGCAATTAAACGGTCGACACACCACGCATCATCGCACTTTATATTATTCTAAATCACGCGACTCGCATCATATTCCGTCACATTAAATATTCCACAATAATCCGACGATTCGCGTATTACGCTGCGTTCTCGAAGTGCAAAAGCGACGCCGACGGCCAGATTATTCAATATATATTAATGAATGATTAGAACGACGGAAATACAAGAAACGGAATATTCGGCGTGCATTTTAATTCGATCTGTATTCACTTGACTCGATTTTCTGTAAAGAGCATGAAGGCGCGTGCTGCGCAACGGATCAGCGACTTCGGCCACATTCGTGAGTCGCGAACGGCGAGAATTAGCATCGGTTGTGCAAACGGGATAACGGATGATTAAAATAAAGAACGCTGCATCTCTCTGATATACCTGCGATATCATCGTGATTGCCTATCGCGATGGAACAGCGCTACGTACACGGGTCACGGAGTCGCTCGCTCGGCTGCTTGTTCGAGCGTCGGAACACTCGGAACGTGAATATGATAGTGCGAGCGTGACCGTCGCGGGCCACGAGGCGCAGGCGACGCGGCGCGCGGCGCGGCGACCGTTTTTATAAACACCGCGCGGCACGGCGTACAAAAAATAAAGTCGAGCCGGTCGAGCGCCCGCGTGCCAACGAGCAACGCCGGCAATACACGGAAAAAGGTATTCACCGTATGAGATCATGCAAAGCGGACCATAAAGGTGCGATTTCATTGACGCTAGAAACCAGCGACAGCGTCAAGAAAATGTAGTGGGGGAAGAAGTTCAGACCGTCTCAACTTTTTACCGTACCGCAAAATTCAACAGAACTTCTCCCCCACTACATTTTCTTGACGCTGCCGCTGGTTTCTAAGCGTCAATGAAATCGCACCTTAACTCAATATACATGTATGTGTTGGTGTATCAATATCAATTATCAATTATCAATTCTCAATTCTCAATATTTATATATTAGTTATTTTAGAAATATCAGTATCTGTTATTGAATCCCGATTTTCTTTCCCCTCTATCCTTTATATAAAAGAAATCTAATTACAACAATTAGATGTCAACTCTTTTCTCCTAGTAAGAATTAAATCATGACTAATTATTATTTCACCAAAAATCTTAAGAATATAAAGAATCTTAAATAAAGAGTAATCTGTACATTAACATGATTCCATAAATTGTCAAAACTGTTTTGTTTATATAAACATATGTCACAAACTTATTTATTAGTAAGATATTAAAGAGTTATAGAGATTATATATGTTTAACAGTAAAGCAGGTAAAGTTTAAAGTATATGTTTTCGAAGTGACCGCTTTTTTGTTGAATGCAGCATTCAGCACGATAAACCCATGTTTCTCTGGCATGTCTTATGGCATCAGGATTATTCCTAATAGTTGCTGCCGCTTCCATTATATGATTTCTTAATTCTTCGTGCCAATAAGTTTACAATAAATTACAATAAACTACAATGATCTACAATAAAGACTTTAACCCCATAGAAAATAATAATACATCGTGCTTAATGCTGCATTCAACAAAACGGCGACCACTTTGAAACACACTTTAAATGTTTCTGTTAAACTTAATTTTTACTCTTTATTAATAAATAAGTTTTATTTTGACCTAGAAAATATTTCCCTAAAATAGTGCCGTGCAATTCTGAAACACCGTGTGTTATGATTATAATACATGTATATGCTCATACATCAAATATCTCAAAAACTAAATTCAAAAATCTAATTTATAATATTTTATAGAATAAAGCTCATATTCGAAACTATTGACTTATGTTAGTTAGAAATAAAGATTCAATCCCCGTGAAGCTCAATTATAACGGTTACCAGAGCAACAAAAATATAAATTGACAGTGTTTTTTCTAGGGTAGCTCCATGGCCGGCCTCCAAATTTATCGTGTTTAAATTAAAATTTTAATTAAAATTTCGACTTGACGATTCATCCAAATTTTCATTGTAGAATATCAAGAGAAATTCAATTAAAAACATCAAAATGGTATGGAAAAGTAAAATTACGTTTTCTTGTGACAATTTTTGACTTTGAAAAAAAATTTGAGATTCTTTGGAGTACACCGTCAAGATTTCAAGTTTAATGTAAAATACACAATTACGCGGTTTGCAGCGCGAGTGTATATCAATGCACGTAGGCCAAGCGGGCGTTCAGATGGGCAACTCCTGCTGGGAGTTGTATTGCCTGGAACATGGTATCCAGCCGGACGGGACCATGCCGTCCGACAAAGCTTCCGGTTCCAACGATTGCTTCAACACCTTCTTCAACGAGACGGGCTCTGGCAAGATGGTACCGCGCGCCGTGATGATCGATCTCGAGCCGACTGTCGTCGGTCAGCTATGATATTATAACTAATTAGCGTAGAAAAAAAATTACTTGTAATAACAATATTAATGTTATAGTAATCTTGACACGAAAATTATATCTTTATAGCTCAAAAATTGTTATTCCCGCAGATGAAATTCGGACAGGAACGTACAAAGGATTGTATCACCCGGAGCAATTAATTACCGGCAAGGAGGACGCTGCCAATAATTATGCTCGCGGTCATTATTCCATCGGAAGCGAGGTCATCGAGTCCGTGATGGACCGTGTGCGCAGACTAACCGATCAGTGCACCGGCCTGCAAGGCTTCTTCGTCTTCCACTCGTTCGGGGGTGGCACAGGATCGGGGTTCACGTCTCTGCTTATGGAAAGGCTGTCCGACGATTACGGCAAGAAGAGCAAATTGGAATTTGTCATATATCCAGCGCCACAAGTGAGTTCAGGAAAATTAGATCAGCTTTGCATATTCTTGAAAAAGAAATTTTAATTAGTTTTCGCTCACTCATTTTATAAAAGATAACGCGAAACTAAAACGAACTGAAGAATATAATGTTTATTTCTGAAATTCCTGAATATTTATAATAATGATCAAGATTAATAAAGATAAAAATTAAGTAAAATCCTAATAACTTTTATTTAAAAAATAAAAAACATGTTTACTTTCAGGTGTCTACTGCCGTGGTGGAGCCGTACAATGCGGTATTAACAACACACACGACGATCAGTCACTCAGATTGTGCGTTCATGGTGGACAACGAAGCAATCTACGACATTTGTCGGCGCAAGCTCGGCATCGAGCGGCCCTTATACGCGAATCTGAACCGGCTCATCAGCCAAGTGGTGTCGTCGATTACCGCGTCCTTGAGATTCGACGGCGCCCTGAACGTCGACTTGACCGAGTTCCAGACAAATCTGGTGCCCTATCCCCGCATACACTTTCCCCTGGCGACCTATGCTCCGGTGGTGTCCGCCGAAAAGGCCTACCACGAGGGCATATCGGTCGCGGAGATTACCTCCGAGTGCTTCGAGGCCGCGAACCAGATGGTCAAGTGCGATCCGCGCGAGGGCAAGTACATGGCCTGCTGCCTCCTGTACCGCGGCGATGTCGTGCCCAAGGACGTCAATGCCGCGATCGCCGCTATGAAGGGCAAGAGTTACATCCGCTTTGTCGACTGGTGTCCCACGGGCTTCAAAGTCGGGATCAATTATCAGCCGCCCACGGCCGTGCCGGGCGGCGATCTCGCGAAGGTATCGTCGACAATTATAGAATATTCTCTTGGAAATCATTTTTTAAATCAAAATAAAAATTAATATATTAAAAGTGTAGACCTAAGTCCACTTTAGACGATTTATAACTCGTAGCAGAATTCAAAATAGAATTCTATCTTTATCTGCCTTTGTAATGTGCGAAAAATATTTGAACAATTAGAATTATATAGCACATAGAAATATATATATAAAATAAATATACAAATAATATGCGGCACACACATTACATTACAGATAATAAATACAGTTATGACTTGAAATCTGACGGAAATTAGATTGTCAAAAGTAGGCTTCAAATTTGATATATAATACCTGATTTAAATTCATTTTATACAATTAGAATTTTAATTTTAATTTACAACTTTCTAACTAGAACTATTACGTCGGGTAGCGAACGTAATAATTATTAATTTATTACGTAATATAGAATTTGTGAAATCCACAACCTTCTAATATAAAAAATAATAATAATTTACATAATAATTAGCTGTTTATTATGTAACATTGATATTACGTAATATATTATACATCATATACATTATATTCAACAGTCGTTTATAATTATCAAATTTGTACGTAATATTAACATTACGTAGTAATCATATACAATAGATAATATATCAACTGCATATATGCTTGCAGGTCCAACGAGCTGTCTCTATGCTATCTAACACGACCGCTATTGAAGAAGCATGGGCCAAGCTCAATCGCAAGTTTGATCTAATGTACAACAAGCGGGCATTTATTCACTGGTACGTAGGGGAAGGTATGGAGGAGCTTGAATTCGCGGAAGCGCGCGAGGACCTCGCGGCACTCGAGCGGGATTACGAGGAAGTCGCCCTCGAATCTCCGTCCACACCGGATACATCGCTGGAGTATTAACATCGCGCGTTTTTTTGGAGGAAATCTTTTGAAATAGGCCGGCGTATTTCTTTTTTTCTTTTTGCTACCCGACAACGAGGCGAAAATTACAAGAGAAGTGTCACAGCGCTCATGCGTTAAATTTTTGTGTAAAAAGATATATTTTATGTTTATTCTCGTATAATTGTAACCGTATTTTATAGAAGAGTATTTTTTGTAAAAGTTCCTTTGTAGAGCAAATATAAAAATATACGAGTGTTGCATCACTTTACAATTAATGTTTCATTTGGCATAGAAACAAATATATAATATACATATATAAAGAGACAAACTTGAATATAATTATACTCCTTATATCGAAAAATTTACTGACCCAAGATAATACTTATTTACGTAATATATACAATATTTGTTTTTTTTTTTATTGACTTCTTTTTTGGTACTGATATTTATAAAAGTATATCAACGAAATTCCCTTTATATCTATTTACATCGTATTCATTGCACTTGGAGCGATAATAGCAATTGTACATATTGGAAATTATGTCGAGGTTTAAGGAAATGTAATATATATATATATATATAACAATCACGGTAATGCTGTTATTAATAACTATTAAAAATCACGACAATGTTAAAACTAGACATGTAATTTCATTCTCCTAGTAACCAGAATCTATTTGATAAAATTAAACATAACTTTATTTCTATTGATACTTGTTATCGCAGCGGAAATAAATGTAGTACGGGTACAAAACTTAACATGATAAACGTTAGATGCATCCAATATCGTTCAGTTCTTTTAAACTTAAAATTGCATAAATTTAGGATGCTTTGAACGAATATCATTGTTAGTTTTAGCTGAATGCATTTATCGGATTGACAAATGCAAATGATTCATTTGCATTTTTCAAGCAAATCACAAGTCTTTTTAGACACGTCCACTTTAAATAAAACTTTAAATCATTATATAATCTAGCCAAGTTACTTATATCTGAGTTATTATTACTTAAATAAAATTTTAACTTGTTATAAATTTAGTCTTTTCATCGTAATCCTACATGGTTCAACGTGATTAAGATTTGACAGTTACTACCGATATAGTAACACGTAATAGAGCTGGCATTGTATGTAAATCTGTAATGTATGAACAATCCTTGGATGAAGCAGTTCCATCAAAAAATAATACGACAATTCTTCCTATTATACAAGAAGCGTTGGTATCGGTTTTTTCCCGGGCCATGCCTCTTTGGCATACTTCTTCTTCTTCGGTTCCATCGCCCGCGGTTCCGTCGTACCCGGTATGTGTTCTTGCACGTGCGACACCTCCGCCTGTATCTGATTCGGCGTCATCTCCACTTCGGGCGCAGGGTTGGGTAGCGCGATGCCAAGCCGCGACGTCAGCGACGTAAGAGCCGTGGAAAACGGATTGATCGACGACATCGAGGACGGCGTAAACTGCTCGGGAGGTAGATCGTGATAGAGTTGCGGGGTGGTAGACGTGGGCTGCATGTGCTTCAGAGGATTGTGATCTTCTGACAATGATATGAGACCACCCTCCATTCGCATTCTCTGCAATAAAAGAGCACACTCTTAATACTATAAATAATTTATAATTATTTAATACTGAGCTAAGCAGTTTTTTGTATCACGTCATTGCGTTTGTATGAACGTCACGCGTACCTTACTAGGAACAACTGTCGTTTGTACAAGATTACGAAATCTCCCAACCGACGGATCAACGTCTTCCGGATTGATTACTTCTTCATCGTCATTGAAGGTGATTCCCTTTTTCTTTCGCTTGCGCGTTGGTTTATGCATCTCATCGTCTGTTATGCCAAGCATAGAAATTCGTCGGTTGTGAGCTGTATTAAACTCCGTTAAATTCTGAAAGTTATAATCGATTGGGTACATTTAGTACAATATAAAATTTAAATGTTTTAAGTAAAGTGTTAACATATATTATCAGATGTATTTGATACATACGTCTAATTCTGTTTCTGTTTCTGGCAATCCCAGCAAACCACCGCCGTCCATATCCTCGGATAATTTCTCCAGTTCTTCGATGATAGGCCGGGCGCCAGTCTGAGGTCTTTCCCTTATTATGTAATACCGAGTAGATGCCCCAAAGTGAAATGTACTGTCGATTGGTAACTGAGTCGGTTTGTAAGCCTCCAAACGTAGATTTCCAATAAAAGTTCCATGTGCTGAAAAGTAATCGGAAGTTTTTCATCATACGTAAAATCTATCATATAATATAATTCTATAAAAAAATGTATTAAGCTTTCTATAAATGCAGCTATTGGTAAAATAATCTCTTTTTTCTTTAACACACTAACTTTACAATCTATAAAAAAAAGAGAATCTTGACATTCAGCTTTCATTAAAAATGTTTCTTAAGAGATTGTACCTTAATAAGAATGCTTATTAGCATCAAAATTTAAATTTAAATCAATTATTGATATAAGTATGTGGATTTACTGTTTCAACTAGGAGCTGTGTTTCAAAGACCGAAAAAAAAATCGACACATAGTTTACTGAGTTAGGAAAAAGTATATAAAATTTACAGACTATTATTATTATACTAAAAGTCAATCCAAACCATAAATAGTTTCTCTCTAATTGATTGTACATTATAACGGTTGTATTTCACTTATTAATTATACTTTAACATCGATATAAGTTTTAGTGCTTACTGCTTCCCAGATCAACCAGAAATGCCCGATTGAGGTGTTTGTGATAAACGAGAGCGGCATGAACACGTGAGCAGGACGCATGATCGATGCAGAAATCGTTCAGCTGTTGATTGCGGCCGAACAGGTAGCACTTCTTCTCATCCACCATAAGTTTCTGTAAAGTAGATAATAGGCATTTATAGTGTGAAACACGTTCATGCAACTTACGCGAGTGGATAATGGAGTTTCGAGAAGGTGACTTGGGTAACGTATCACCCAAGTCACGGCTGACGTATCGCTTCTACCTGTATCAATTTATCGTTCTTCAGCACGTCCAGATGCAGCCCCACCGGTGGCTTGCCGGCCCTAAAAAAAAGATGTTATTAATTCGCAAAGCGACGCCGAACGTCGTCGCGACGGCGACAAGCAGCTCGGGGGACGATTGCGTAAACAATAGACGGACCCGCGACCGGGCACTCGCGAACGAGGAGGACTCTGAGAACGTACCAGTTCGGGACCTCGTAGTGGTTGGCCATTGTCGTCCGCAACCTGTGCAACAATCCGCCTCGCTCCGCTATCCGAGCGCGAGCGAACGCGCGGGTAATAACGAGCGACTGCCGAAATGTACGAAGTACGGACGAAAACAAATCCCGTGTCAGCGGAACACCACACCGCACCACACCACCAACAACCTCGCAAGCCGCGCCGCGCGTCTGCGCGTTTCCTATGACCGCGAAATTTCAATCCCCGGCGAGAGCAGAAGACGCACGCTTCGAACCTGAGTTGCTGTACAATTATTGTCGAATAATGAAGAATATCGATCGAATAGCTGTTTTTCTCAGATAAATAGATAAATTTCTTCCGGCCGGTCTCGTAAGCCCGTTCGAACGCCAAGAAAAAATTCCCTAGCTCTTGGAGCAAAAGAAAGAGGTGGAAAAAGATTGTGAAAAGGTGGAGAAAGTGTAGCTGCACCATATAAATGTGTATCATACATACATACATGCGACCGGCAGGAAAGCCTGGACATTTTGATATGCATATGACATATGTATGTACATGTATATGTATATGTATTATGTCCAGGCATTCCTGCCGGTACTGCCGGTAGAGTGTACGTGGCGCATCAAATATTTTTGTGCTGAAGGAACGATTCAAGTAATAATTTGTTCTTTTTTTTTTCTTTCTTGACTTTCTCAGTTTCTGCACCTCAGACGCCAATAAAATTAGAAAGAGATACTACGTTGTACTTTCTCCATTAAAAATGAAATAGATATAATAAAATAAACGTTTGGAGAGAGAAAAAAGAGATGACGCAAATTGGCAAAGAATTAATAAACGCCGTGGCGCCACGCAGAAACAAAAGTGCAGCAATCGCGGAGCAAGTGCAGCAGTCGCGCAGCAAGTGCAGCTGTCAGTGGCGGTACTGTCTCCTGTCACTCCTGTCAGTGGGCACTGGGCATTGGTGGTGGGCATCAACGACGACAAACGACAACGACGATTGCGACGCGGACGGTACGTTTTTGACAGAACGGTTCTGTCCCAGAGGACTTCGTCGGAGTTCGATTCAGGATCCAGGACTCTCGTGTGGCAGTGGCACTCATCTTTTCCCGTCGTAAATCACATATTAGGCTGCGGAGCGATAGACGAGCGACACGGGGAGGAATCGCTTGCGCAGGTTAAACGCACGGCTGATGCGTTCGTCTGGGGCGAGTCGCGGCTGACGGATACGGAGAGATGTCGTTCAAAGTCGGGCAACGCGTCGAGGTCCCCGTGAAGGAGTGCCAAGGCGTGATCGCCTACGTCGGCCACCCGGCGTTCGCGTCCGGCAAATGGATCGGCGTGATACTCGACGAGCCGAAGGGGAAAAACAACGGCAGCGTCAAGGGTCAGGTGTACTTCAAGGTGAACCGACAGAAAGACGTTGACTAATGTTTACAAGATTTGTGTCAAAAAACTGGAACCCTCCCCAGTTGGAGACACGGCGATAAGATTGAGCTTATCCCGAACCTTTAGAGAAAAAGATGTCCAATGTCCATTTCTATCGATATAGAGTAACTTTAATCTCGGTTTAAGTTACTTTTTATCTTTTTCCAGTTGTGAGAATTAGAATCGACGACCTCGATTACCTTAATCGGTGATTAATTCAACTAGCAGAATTGCTTGCGAAATTTCAAATTATATATGTTTGTCCACTTTTATAAATAAATTCGCGCATTTATTTCTGAGATTTTATAGCACATGTAAACTATATGCTAACTAAATGCACGCATTTATGATAAAAGTAAACTGATAATACGGGCCTTAGAGTTTAGAGCAAATTTATGTGCACAATCAATGACGATTGCATTTAGTCTTCCAAGAAGGAGTTGATTCTAATTCTATTAGATAAGCGTACCAGAGAAGAGTACATTGAGTACATGATGTAAGATATGTAAGGCGAGTTTGATTTTTACTAAACAGTACAAAACCATGTACAATAGAAGAAAATTGTATGTCGGTTTTGCATTGTACGCAGTATTTCTCATGTGATTTATAACGGCAAATCTACTTTTACTATTTGAAACAGTTTAATTTTCTTGTTAGTATGGAAGAAGATATATTTTATGTTGTTTATTTCTATTGTCGCAGTGTGCAGAGAATCATGGCATGTTTGCGCGCCAGACCCAACTTATTCTGTTGGACGATTTTGGTAACAGGACCGAACCTGTCAGCCCATCGTCCGCAGGCAGCAATGCCACGACACCTGATGACAGCGCCGCTAGAGCCAGGAGTCGATTAAATAGGTGAGTTTAATGTTAAATTGTATTGAAAACATATGGCTAGATTTAAGAATCTTATGAAAAACGTACATAATTTTTCTGTTACAAATACAGTAATTATTAGTATATAATGCTATAAATAACCGATAGTCTTGCAATTGAATATAAATGCTGTAGATAGAGTATTACAGTATTTTAAAATATTTAAAGTAATATATTATCATCTGAAATGGAAAATAGTAGAATTTAAGCAGTAATTGAACAGAATTTATCAAAAATAATTTATTCATTGTTGAACTTAGCGCTGAATGTAATTCATAAATTCAGAAGAAAGAATATTTGAATTAATTTATTTTCACAATTTTTATGCTAGCATTAGTATGCGTCGGAGGAACGAACCTACAGCGTAAGTTTCTCATCTTGTAATAACGCCAAGAAAATACGAATGACAATCGTTATTATTTTCCTTTCTAAGAACTTCTGACATTTTATATAAATAAATGGATAGGCGAGTGTATAATTAATAAATTCTTAAAATGTATATGCTGCTCATAAAAGTGTACGGAGAAAAACATCTCCTGCGAATGTTACTCGCCAGCAAACTGACAAACTTTCTGGGTAAGATTACTGCAAGCAAAATCTTGGCGAACGGACGTGTCAGCAATGTGTATTTTTTTATCGCTACTGCTTATATAGACATTTTGAAAATTGCAATTATCTTCTAATTACTGGCTCTGTCGAAATGCCAACTGCATTGAACACCCACTCTGCAGCTTTAAAACACAAACAAGCTGCCAATATGCCTATTATGGAGCTTTTACACATGCATACCTTATTTTTAGTTAATAAATAATTAGCGATCATTTCTGTTATGCTCATTATTGTGACACAAATGTTGTATTGCTAAATATTACATGCTATTAAATTTTGTTTATCAATTTAATTTAAGTTTGCATTTCTGTAAGATTATATTTTTATTTTAAACATATTTTGTACCAAAACTGTTTTTTATGGACATTTATAATTGTGCGAATATTATTCTATATGATTTCTTATACTGATTTCATGCAATAATTTTTATTTCTAATTTTTTTCATTTTAATATAAATAATTTAAGTTCAAATTTCCATCGCGGTTGATTTGGCGAACAGCTTAGTAAATATGTGTAAAAAATATGTATATAAAATATTAAATATATCGTTAAATATTTTATTTTATATTTACAGTTCTCGATTATCCTTATCTGGAAGTAGAACATTATTAAGTGCCCCGAGTACAGAAAGCCTAACTGGATCATTGCACGAACGTAGAGACGGCGGCGAGTCATTAATCCCAGCACCAACTTCAACTTCAAAGCGTGCTTCATTCGTTGAGGTAAGATATATTGTGAATAAGCTGTGATAAAAAGTATTAAGCTGTAATATAAATTATTTTTATATCAATAGCATATAAACTTTTATATTTTTTATGTATCTTATATATATATTTTTTAATTGCTCGAAAAGTAAAAGCAAAGATGTATCTATAAAGAACATTATTCAGAAGATTTAAGGCATGACATATATATGACGAATGGTATAATTCCTATGTGAACAAGTTGTCTACTATATTCTTATGATATAATTTCCATTCTCGTTTTTAACTAACAAAGAGGTGATCTAATATTTTGAAATCTATAGGTCTTTCAATTATTTGTATGTTTTTCTTATATTCATGTGCAAAAAAAATCCTATTCTGTGACTCGAATCAAATGTAATCAAATCAAATGTAATTATGCACGTATGCGTTTTCGTCTGACCGGAAAGTGTGCTTGAAACAAAAGTGAGGTAGAATTAATGGTGAAAATTAGAAGAAAAGAGAACGGACTGTAAATTTGTAAAAGCAAGTCGGAGGACTCCATTGGCACAGAATGATTCATATGGGAATGCACGTACGTGTTTCAGAAGTCCCCTAGCACGAGCTCGCCTCCCGGCAAAAAGCCAAAGGCCCAAGATGATCAGAATAATGTAATTAATACTCATTAATTGTAATATTTCAATTTTTTTAATACATCACCTCTCTAATATCTTGTTCTTTCTCATGCTAGCTGTTTGCCGATCATAAAGCATCGTAACACATAATTTTTGTAACCAAACAGCGTCCATTGCACCTTTAACGGATACGTCCTTAGTGGATTATTGACTTAATTTCATTTTACTCTTTGCATATCATTATTGTGTTTAACATCAGCTTCATTAACTGAGTTCTTTGGTGCTTTGATAGTTTACGATACACACAGTGGGAAGGGATATTCTGCATCGTTTCGTCTTACCTTTTACAGTTAGGAATTGAATTCCCCTTGCATTTGCGTTATAAGCTTAATAATACTAATATTCAGCACAGACGAGTTTTACACTTTGAAGTGTAGCTTTGCCTGATCAATAACTTTCTCAGAGTTATATTTGTCAAGAGTTAATCTTTGTGGAGCGGGGATGCAAATGAACACAAGCGGGTCATTAGGACGTAATAGATGAGACAGTCTCGATGCTCTGACTTTAGCCATAGTCGATGCCACGACTTTAGCCTGTTTAAATGTATCACGTAACACACGATTCAACTCATCAACTGGATCTTCCTCTTTATAATCGTATAGTACTAATAGAATATTCGGTGTAGCTTGTTGGTGTTGTTATTGCAACTAATCTCTCATTAATCACCATGAAACAGACTAATTTTATCCGAATGTAAATACAGAAACAACGGCATTATCGTAACATCATATACGATTCTCACACATAGGAAATGTGGGGTGTTTTTTTCATTGCCGCATTTTGAGAATATAATTATGTTATCTTTGTTTGCGCCATCCATATACCGTTTAGTTATACCGTGTGTGTATATGCGTTTTAACCTGGCACAGGTACACAGGTCCAGAGGACTTTGAAGAAACTCTTTGGCGATATAATTCTTTCATTGCGATAATAAAAAGAACACCCAACGGCACAAAATGCAAATATATCTTACTTTTTCTCCCTTTTCTGTAATCCAGACAGGTTTTGTAGAAACGTTGAAACCGCAATTCGTACCCGGTCAGGTGATGGCGGGTTCAGCAGCAGCTGCAAACTTGGTGGAAGAAAAATTGTCGCACTTGCAACTTATGCAAGAAAATGATAATTTGAAATCTCAGGTAAATTTCCCTTTTAGGTTTTTCCACCGCGAGAATTTTTTTTTCTGTTCTCTTATAGTTCAAAATTACATATCCTTATTTATCCTTGTTAAAATTATAATGTGCATACATAATATTATAGGTGCGTGATCTTACCGAGAAAGTAGAAACGTTGCGTGTAAAACGAATGCAAGACAAGGAAAGGATGAAAGATTTCGAGAAAACAAAACTTCAAGTTGAACAGCTTCTTGAATTTAAGGCCAAAGTCATGGAAAGTCAAGTGAGTATTATATGTAATAACAGGCATGCTAAAAAGTCGATTAAATATCGAAAATTCCAAGATCTTCATTGAACGAGTTTACTCTTAATTTTTGCAAGTAAGTCATTTAATTTCTACTTTTGCTTACTTTGTGTTATCAAAGGCAAGCCTTCAAAGAGAACTTCAACGAGCTCGGCAAGAAGCTAGAGAAGCTCACGCGGCGAGAGAACAGTATCAGGAAGAAATGTCTGATCTGTCTGAGACAGTTGAAATGGCTACATTAGATAAAGAAATGGCGGAAGAGAAGGCCGAAACTCTTCAGATCGAGCTGGACCAACTCAAGGAAAAATTGGAGGAACAAACATTGGATCTAGAGATATTACGCACAGAAATGTCTGAGCGGGTATAATATTTCATTTAATTTTTATAAAGTTTCTATATCTTTCTTATAGATTTGACACGTTTAAATGAAATTATTATTTTCGCAAATAAGGCAGCCGGTGGTGGAGCGACTACGGGAGCTTCAAGCTACGAGGTGAAACAATTGGAACAGCAAAATAATAGGTTGCGCGATACGCTCGTCAAAATGCGCGACTTATCCGCGCACGAGAAACACGAGTTTCAAAAACTGCAAAAGGATATGGATCAGAAAAAATCTGAGATTTTGGAATTGGGTCGTACGAAAGAGAAGTTGTCGGCACGGGTCGAAGAAATGGAACATCAGATAGCGGATCTACAGGAACAGGTATATATGTTTGCACAATTTGCAACAACGTCATAGTTGCATACATATTGTATTTTAACGTTTCTTTTGCAGGTCGATGCAGCATTAGGAGCCGAAGAAATGGTCGAGATGCTAGGCGAGAGGAAAATGGCATTGGAAGAAAAAGTGGCTGAACTGGAAGAGGCTGTTGCAGATTTGGAGGCTTTGCAAGTACGTAGTTCTTGTACTTTGTATTACAAAAGATATATAATCTACAGCAAATACATAATGACAAATAATGTACTATGAATCTGTTCAGGATATGTCGGATCAACTGGCCGAATCATCTAAAGAGCTAGAACTGGAACTTCGTGAAGAATTGGATCTCGCACTTGGGGCAGCGCGCGATGCCCAACGACACCGGGACGCCGCTCTGGAGACGCTGGCAGATCGCGAATTAACCATCACAAAGTTCCGCGAACTCACGCATCAGTTGCAGGAACAATGTTTGCAGTTGCAGCAACGAGTTCAGTCAACAGAGTCTACCAAGACTAACGTTCGAGGTAGGAGAGGAAATGGTGGTGCATACGAAACTTTATTAACCAAGTTATCTTTTTTTTTTATGAATTCTTATGTCATTTACGATCTAGGTGCGGACCAACAACTTGCGGAGATATTAGACTTCCAGAAAACGTTTGCTGAGACCCGAGCGCAAACCAAGGCGGTCGACCTCGAGCTGCGTCGTTTAGACGCCGAGGAGGCACGAAATCATGTGTGCTACTTGCTGTCCTTCATGCCTCCCGTATTTTTGACTCGCGGCGGAGATCATGATGCGATATTGACTCTCTTATTGATACCGAGAATGACGCAAAAAACGGAGATATTGATTTCGCAAGTTCGGGAAAAGTACAGATCGATCGAAAAGATAGACAGGTAATGATAATTCGATTTTTCACCACGCAAGCTTCATTTAGATTTCTCGTACAATACTTAATTTTTTTTTTTTTTTTTATTACAGGACTTCTGTAGTGAGAGGTCACTCGGTAGCACAGTATTCGTTCAGATCTCGTCTGTGCTCGCATATGTACGCCTTACAAACCACCCTGGGGTGCTTCGAGTCGGCTTTAAACTCGTGCAACACGGAGATGTTACTTAAAGCGGGAGCGGCTTATCCGGAAATGGCGGCGCAGGAAAAATCCCTGGACTCGTTGATTGAACTGGCTAAGAGAGATCAGTTGGACGAGAATTTGCCGATGGACGCGATTGAGAAGTGTTGCGGATACTTCGCCACGATGTTCTCCGTGCTCTTCGGCGAAAGTACGGCTGTCAATCAGGCGCGCTTGATTGTGAATGGCACGAGAACTTTGGGCAATACGTGCGATGCCATAGCTACCGATGCCGCGGCGATCAAAGTATTGATACAAGGAGAAAGTGGTGATATAGGTGCATAATATTTGGTTAATTAAACTTGACCTGCATAGATGTGTTATTGTAACGCATTCTTATTGTTAAAGGTAAGCTTTGTCAACACGTCGAAACGACGTGCGAGGTGATCCAGCAGCATTTGAAATCGGCTAGAAGGCGAGTACCGCGTGATCACGCTGGTCCAGCATTTTCCGTAGGCGCCAATTTAGGATTAGATAAAGATTCCAACGAACAATTTTCGACATGCTATCAGCACGGCGTGAAGATTATGAAGACACTACAGTATCTATTGAAGAGTGCCTTACAGGCTATTACCGAAAATGGCGGTAGGTATTTTGGATAGACTCTCTCTCGGAAAATTAATTTTTATAATATTTTTACAAATAAATTCTTCAGATTTAGACACAGGGCTAGCGGCCGATAAGTTGAAGGAAATGGCTGCAACGTCCAGCGAGAGAGTATACGATACAGAAGACTTGGGCCCTGTGACCACTGTCAAGACTAGTTTAGCGGTGATACAACAACTGGCGGCAAATCTAGCGCAGAAGATGGCCGAGTGCGAGAATGAATTAGCTATAAGCGGACAGACACAAAGTCAGCAATTATCTATGGAGCATGAGCAAATGACGCCAATTGTGGCTAGAGCAAGTGCTGTGAGGAAGGAGTCGGAAGAAACAAAAATACTCAGCAGGTGCGTACATTTCCGTCGGCTGGTTATGTAATTACCATTAGAAGACTCTTTGAGATAATCCTTTGACATTTTTACATTAGAAAACTCGAAGCGAGGGATAGTGATATACGCGAGGCGAGATTAGCTTTGCGGGAGAAGCAGGAAGAATTGTCCGAGATGACACTGCGGAAGGAATTGGCCGAGAAGCGTTTTGCGACGCAGCAGCATGAACACGAAATGAATGTCGATAAATTAAAGAGAAAATTAGAAGAGGCGCAAAATCAACTAAAACGCAAGGTATCTTTCTTTTCATTATTGTATATCGGTAATGTTATCTGTATATTTGTTCACCAATTTCTTTATATTTTCAACACTGATGATAGGAAAAGGAATTCGAAGAAACAATGGACCATCTTCAAACCGATATCGACAGCCTAGAAACAGAGAAAGGACAATTGAAGGAAAAGTTGAAGTCAATTGGCAAAAAGACGATATCTGTGTCTGGCGCGGACAGCATGACAGGAAGCACTTCGATAACGAGCACTTTAGACAACAAATATTACGTACAAGAGATAAACGCCCTCAAGCAAGCCTTGAATAATGAGCATCAGCAAAAGAAGAAGATAATGTGCGCTGTCTTGCGTCAAAAGTTAGATAGTTTGGAGCCGTTGCCATCGCCGACGAATCTTAAATCTCTGGATACGAAAATTCAAGAATTACGAAAGAAGACTACTGATCTCGTCAAGGTAATCAATTACTAATTGATAATCATTATCAATTATTATTACACTCAAATATTTTTCTACATGAGTACGCTTATTCACATTTTAGGATGTCGAGAAGACTCTGGTATATCCAACAGTTCCCGATTTGAGGCGGAAAATGCCCGAAACATCATATCATTATTTACTGGAACGGCAAAGAAACATCATGCAACTGAAGGAACGAGTTGACGAGCTAGTGGTAAGTATAGATAAAAGATAGATAAGCAACAGTATAAATCGATACAATATCTGGATGCCCAAAATATATTGTATATTTCTTCAGGCTCAGGTACGTCGTGAGGCTATTAAACGTACGCCGGGTGGACGAGCGGAAGCGAATTTCGCTGTGTATCCGAATCGCGAGATGGCGGCGGCAATGCAGGAACGTAAATTACTTGCTGCCGAAATAAAGATCCCTTATAACGGCCCAGAACAATCATTCTCCGTTAATGTAGGACCGCAAGACCTTAGGAAAATTCACACTCTGATGTACTATTAAGAGTCCGCGTTGTTTTATTTTTTATTATTTATTTCGTGACAAGGTAATGTGATCATAGAATCCTCAAACTATACTGTGCAAGAGAGACTATCTTTTTCTAATAATTTTTTCACGGTAGCAATATCTTGTACTACGTTGCCGTACCCTGTCGTGCTCCATGAAAATGAAGCGAGCTAATTGTTACGAATAACGCGGCATTAACTTAGGCTTTTATACAGAGAATTTATGTCATATCCTTGTATCGATGTAAGAAAAAAGGTACAGGACAGATCTAGTAATTCGTAATTTGCACTTGTGCATGTTTATTTATTTCCGATGGGCTACAGTGCGATGACCGGCGCATCGCAGCTGGGAGGCTCTTTTTCAGTGTTCATTACGTTTATAAATGACGCAATGTTATTTAATATTAACAATACGGAAGAAAAATCATGTGCCTCACGGCTTTTCTGTATTATATATATATATAGATATGCCTTTAAGAATTGTCAAATATATGGTCTAAAAATATTTACATAAATGTTTTGTATGTACACCCTAAACGGTGATGGTATCACAATAATAGAAAGTGGTGTGGTCTTGCAGAACAAGTACTTCACATACCTTGACCAAACATCATATACACTTTCACTGTTGCTATATGTATATTATAGGCAACAGCCGATCTCGGTAAATATCATCAGCAAGATTAACATTTAATGAAACAGAAACTTATAGTACAATATTCCAGATTTTTTATTTGTAGAGATAAAAGGAGCAGTAAACCGTTGATGTATTTCCTCAAATATTTATGAAATAAGGTATGCCTTAATTACTGTCACAATTTTATTATACATACAGACATGTGTATGTGCATATGTATATACATACGTTTCGCGATATATCTCATGCACATGTGTTGTATATACACACACATACACACAGCGGATAGTACTTAAGTGCATATATCGTTAGTTATTTTATTAACTTACTCGCTCATTCATTCTCACATGTTGATGCGCACTTTTACACTTTCATTTATCCCCTTCATAATAATAATAATAATAATAATAATTAACCACGCATTCAATCGAGGATGGTTATTGGTTATAATTCTTTTTTATATTCTCAAAGGTGTGTCCGCCAGGCAGCGTAATCCGCTTCTTCGGATATAATAAGCTTTAAGATTTCAGTTGAATTCATCATTGCAATCGTACTTAAAGCTGACCGGACGACTGGTAGTACCTTCCACGACGAGGACGTGTGACACACGCTAATATTATTCGTATTCGTTAAAGGTGTATGATCGTAACGTTCTTTTGGAAACTAATGCTCGCAGAATATGAAGGTGAAGAGTTTAGCAGCTAGAATGAATAATACAACTAAAATCTTAAACAATATGAATAGAAACGATAGTTCTTTAGCAATTGCCGATATCAAATAAGTATTCTGACTGTTCGAGGCGACTTCTCTCGGTATGTACGTGTGTATGCATGTACGAAGAACGTTGGTCGATGAAGTATGAAGTCCCTTAAATGTGTATACAAAATATCAAACTTAATCTTGAAGCAACAGCACGTGAAATAGCTACTGCACAGTCTCAGCTATTAAAAACTATATACGGAAGAATTATCCAGCCTAGAGCCTCAGTTACAGGAATACTTTCCGCACGAGATAACTTTTTTTTTCACATTATCTAGATGAAAGTAAGCTTGTAACCACTTTCCACTATTTCAAAATTTCTTCTTCTCCTTCAACGACTGTTTAACTTCTGCGATTTATAATAAACATATTCACAGACAGAAAGAGAGTAAATCGAGGGATATTTCTACAATAGAATCGTTAGTCGTTTGTTCGTTTCTCGATAGAGTACTCGTTACTCAATACAGTACGGTACATACTTAAAAGTTAGATTGTTGCCTTAATATTAAGGTATCTTTAATATTACTTTAACTTGTCAATATTATATCGGAGAGAGACGTAATCGTTCATTTATTAAAAAAAAAAAAAAAAAAAGATTATTCCAGTCAAACGTATCAAAAGTATGTGCAATGGTAGTACCTTTGATACTATTGACATACTCTATCCTCGATAAGAAAAATATTAACACTTTCTCAACATTCCACACACGCTAGTGGATGCCGATCACGCCATATATTGAAGACAAAACAAAATTTCGGAAGCAGAATGTCAGTTTGCCACGGTAGTACTCATACTCTCACAAAACACTCATATATTTTGCATATATCTCTTTTCTGTTTGTAGAATAGATATAAAATTTTACACCACACGCTTCGCAGATTAACGCGAGCATCCAAGAATGGTCAGAACGTCCTCTCTTTCTCTCCATGAAAGTTGCACAATTTCGTGAATTAAATCACCCATTATATTCACAAGCCTGATAATATATATACGCCCTTAATCTTCCTCAGGGGGCAACAGAATCTTTATTTTCAATAATTACCAACGGTAAATTAAATACGTAATAACAAAATAAGAACAAGCCACTTTCTGGCTGGCTGGTCTCTCACTCGGATTTCAAAGTCCAAAAAGTTCAATCAGCCGAAACTCTAAGTTGCCAGTGTTACATCTCATCCACATGTAGTTCAGTAAATATGTGATACAATCATGTTTCCCTATGTCACATATGCGCAAATGCTGCACATTTGTAGTTACATTACATCACTCTCCTCTTTGTGTGAAATTAGAGTGTTGACTGATATGACTCTTTGAATGATAACTTCTGTAAGAAATTCGGTACCTCGTTTGAAACACTTTAGTGATCGCGATCAAGATTGTTGCTACAATGAGGAGTTATAGTCTTAGCGCGCTCCTGGAACAAATAAAATCGATTTTGAAATTATAAAAATTATATTTTTTTTAAATTCTGCTATAGATAATATGTTTGTGATTCGCGCAAATGGAGCTTTCTCTTTGCTTTTATGTTACTCCATTTGTTTCTCGCATCATATGACGGTGAAATGTGTAAACAAAATCAAGTGTTACTTGTTTTTATACAATTTTGCATCATATGCAAGGAACATTATCGATATCGATTTAAAATTCAGTAGAAGACATTGAAGTGTAAGTTCGCCAATTAAATTAATGATGGGTGGAAAGATAATAAATACATTAGTAAACACAAGTATCAAGTTTAGTGTACAGAACTAAAAAAAAAATATATATATATATATGTATATATATATATATATATATATACACATATATATATACATATACATAACAAATTTGGATATATTGTTTCAAATCGTTCAACAGTATTCTCAAAAAACAAACTCAGAATCTATAAGAATCATGACTATTAAGATGCTTCAGATGTAAAAGCTATTAAATAGTAATAAAGATAGAAACGTTAAACAATATATGAGAGAAATAATGTGAAAATCTCCATAAATATAAGAGATATTTCCTCCGTAAATATCGTTAAAAAATTTTGATGTAAGAGAAAAAATTTTGGCATAGGTCTATATATTCAATAGCATGGGATAGATTTAATCGTTAAACGAATGTTAATTAGCGTATAAGCATACTTATATTTCCATTAGTGTTTCAGTCATTATTATTAGTAAATAGTAAAGAAAATCTTTTCTCCGAAAAAGTTTTTTGCTGTGCCGATTTTCTCATCGAGGAAGAAGGAAAAAGCATTTAATAAGCCCCAGAGTTATTGCTTCTTGGAAGAATGATTTGTGCCAAGCGAAATGTTGAGTTTTGTGGAGGACTCCAACCATCTTTTAAGGTTGAAATTGGCTGTTAAAAAATGATAATTTATATAAACAATATAACCAAAAAACATAAATTTTGAATTAACGACAGTGATACAGAACACTAATTTGTCAAGTTTCAACAATTTAAAGTTTAAAGGATAACCCCACGATGATTGTTACGACTGAATATGAAATGATGACGTGAGATATACGTGAATCCCTAAAGGAATCTATAGACTATACGTTGACATGCTGCGAAAAATTAATTCGAGAAATTTTGATTGCACCTGATTGAGCGTTGGCCTGAGTAGGTGCTTGACCTTGACCTTGTCCTTGCCCCTGAGCACCTTGAGCACCTTGAGAGAGACCTGGTCCAGCTGTTGATACTCCACCGCTAATGTTATTACTTGCTGCCTTTTGCTTTAACATCGTCCAATCAAATGTATAATCATATTGGTGGTTCAATGTACGGAAAAGTATGCGGAAAAGTTGACGTAAATACATGTAGTCCGGGCTTTCTTCAAAGCGTAGACCTCGCGTATAATTTAAATACATTGCAAATTCGGCAGGAAATCCCTGAAAAAAATGGTAATTTTTATGTTACGGATGTACATAATACAGGTTTACATAACACAGTATAATAATACAGATAATGAAGATAAAGGAAAAGTTCTTTAGCGCCTTACCTTGCATAGGACTTCTACTGGCGTGGACATTTTTTTCTCGCTAATTTTCTCATACTTCTGCTTCTTCGTCGCAGCTTTGAGACCTTGCCAAGGTAACGATCCTCGATTAAAGTACATAAGAACGTAGCCGAGTGATTCCATGTCGTCGCGACGACTCTGTTCAATTCCAAGATGTGCATTGATAGAAGCATACCTCGCCGTACCCGTTAGATTTTTATCTTCGCGATATATTATATGCAGTCTCGTGCGACTATCCCTATACTTTTTAGCCAATCCAAAATCGATGAGGAACAGCTGAAACGGTTATTCCAATAATTTATTAATGACGCACGGTTCATTTCTGATGTATCATTGGAGGAATGGACTAGATTGAAAGGCGTACCTTATTACAATGTCGCCCAATCCCCATTAAAAAATTGTCTGGCTTTATATCTCTGTGGATAAAGTGTTTGCAATGGACATACTCAATCCTACCAATCATCTGGTCTGCCAGCATTAAGACCGTCTTAATTGTAAACCTTCTTGAACAGAAAGTAAAAAGGTCCTCCAAAGATGGTCCAAGAAGATCCATGACAAGAACGTTATATTCACGTTCTTGGCCATACCTAAAGAGAGGAAAATTCCTGTCAGTTGACTGCCTCCGGCTCACAGCAACTTTTAATCTCTCAGCTAATACGAATCCCATAATTATTTATTATACATTCCTTTTATTATTACATAGATACAACTAAATACAATGCCAAAAAATATAAAGAACTAAACATGATAATTACCAACGTATGTGTGGTATTCCTATACCACCATGTAATATTTTATACAGCTTCGATTCATATAGAAGCTGCGGATGCCGAGCACGCATATTCTCCAACTTAACTGCAACTTCCTGAAATGTAAACATATGTTACATGTTATCGAACTGCCCTGCGAAGTTTTATTCAACACAAAGATCGTAAACAAAATGCAAATAAATGGAATCATATAAAAATTTTATGGTTTCTTTCTTCTTGTGCTATTCTAATTTTCCTTTGTTTCTTAAGCACTGTATATTTGCGTTAGAAGAATAACAATAAATAGAAATCCAATCTTGAAAATACTAGAAAAATAGAAGAATAAAGTCCCTCTTGATAACAATGAGAGCTAATGTACTAGGTTTATATCAATTCTCATTTAATATCATTTTTATCTAAATCTCAAGTTCCATTTCTTATTCATCGTTATTCACACGCACAGCCATGGTATATCCTAACAGGATATATCATTATCCTCATATATTGGTTTTTTGTTATACCGTGAGAGAAAAGTATCATCATATATAGATCATAGGTAAATGTCGCTTAAGATAAAACGTGCAACATACAACAGTACCATCAAAGGAAGCGGATTTGCAAAACAAACGGAACGAAGACTTAAATCGCCCTGTCATTGTTTACTGTATTCTTGATAGTCAATGCGATTTTCCTTATCTGCAAGGGAAAACTGTAACCAGCTAGAAAGCCAAAATTAATTGCCCGGACTCCGACCGTCTGTTATTCGATTTCGTTCCAACGAGAGAGCCAGTAAGAAACGCCTGTGCTTTCGATAATTCAAATAAATCATTAAACATGCGCGCACTCGAAATTCCGATAATCGTCGCTGTTGCGACAAGCGTCAGCTTATATTTATCGCAAACCGCGTCCCGACGTACATACACACGTACGTATGTACGTCACTCGCGAGCTCACCGCGGAGTAATCGTCGACGGCGGGCGAGCTCGCGACGTCACGGTCGCGTCCCCAAACCGTCGGCCAGAGAAGGTGAAGGATCCTTCTGCCTCGACGTAGCTATCGACATGTCGCGGCGCCCGTCTCGTCTCGCATGGTCCGATCACTCCGATGTCCCTGGATCTCGTCGACCGAGGATCGGTACGAAGGAAGGGAAAACGCGATCGAGCACTAAACGAGACGAAACGAAGCGAGAAACGGGAAACGCGAACACAGAGGGAACCGAGCTGACTGGCTGGCTGGCCAGTCCAGCAGTAGGTCGTGCAGGTCGGCCTCGAAAGAGATGCCTGAGATGGCCTTACCTCGCCATTGGAGATGTTGATGCCGAGGTAAATGTCGCCGAAGGAGCCCGAACCGATCTTCCTCATCAACCTGTACTTGCCACCCACGATAAACTCACTCTTCGCTATTGACATCGCCAACGACGCCATGTCACTGCTCGCCTCCGTATGCCTTCTCTCTCACCTCCACTCGCCGTACGGCTCTTCCCTTTGCGCTGCCTTTAACGCGGGGACCTCTACACGGCGGTGTAAGTTTTGCACCTGCTCGCCGTCTCTCTCCCTCTACCGCCGTCTTTCGCTCGCTCCACCGCTCTCCCGCGATATATATATATATATATATGTATATATATCTCCTCCTCTCGGGCTGGCTCCCTTTCTTTCTCTCGCGCGCGTGCGAAGGTCGAGCCGAATCGAGGGATCGAGGGTAAGCGACGGCCGGTGGCGTATGGGGCTTCGCGGGCCGGATTTCGGGCGAGTCAGGGTCGCCGGGGGGCCGCGATGCGATCGTCGTAACGTGTCCACGAGCGGGCTGTTCACTGGCAACGGCACGACAAGCCCCGTCGACAGCGCGCCGACATTTTCCCCTCTCGGCGTGTGGGCACGAAGAGCAGCGACTGACGATTCCCGGAAGCGATGCGTCACCGAACGACGGCCAACGACGGCGCGGAAGACGCGACGGGGGACGCGGAGGGGGCAGGGGGACAGCTGCACTGCCGCTCAATCGAGTCACTCCACCGGCGCGACGCCGCGCGTCGCCCGATATGTTCGCGCCGTGACGTTTCGCGCGCGAGATCCGCGATAATTCGGCGTGACTTCTTTCGTGCGCGATCAGCCTCGAGCCGCGAACGCCCACGAACCTGAGCCGCGTGAAGTCGCTCGTTTGACGCCGCCGGTATCACGGCGCTCAGGCCCGTAGCGCGGCGGCGAGCGCCGCGGGCGCCACGAGCGTCAAACGTATCGCCGAGGGTGGCCGAGGTAAGAACCCTGGCATGGGTCTTCTGCTGAACTCTTGCACGGTTCAGCCTTCCTCTTTTTCTTTTCACGTATAAGAGAAAAAGAGAAAAGATAAATTGTGCGAGAAGTTCAGCTAAAAAGAATAAATCCAAGGTTTTATCTTTGCCAATTTCATACGTATGTACGCATACAATTGTAATACATTAAACAACAAAAATTAACATAGATTTTACGACGCTTTTTTATTTGTTTTTTCTTCTTACCATATTATGCGACTGTTGGATCATTCCGTAATATCTTTAATATTCATGAAAGCTCCTCGAGAAACGAATCGGCAGATCGACTTGTATAGCTCACGTCGAAACCGATGCGGAATTTCAAACGAAATGGGATCTAAATAATTTACGTGTTTCTAATAGATTATAGTTATAATTCGGCGAATCTGGAACGATATGTGGGTCAAGGGTGTCGCTTCCTCGGAGCTACGATACTGACGTACCGGAACCTCGTGCTACTTGTCCACATCTTTATACGCTATTGTTCAGGTACGTTCAAAAGCCTTTGCCGTCGTCATCAGCACGGGATCTGTTTTCTATTGCTGCATTTGCTGTATGTACTAGTTCAGAGTTTATCTTTTTTACTCCACATTGGAAGGAAAAACTCTGAACTAGTGATGCAACCAGTTCAGCAATAGAAAACAGGCCGATAGAAATAAGGGGTCGGAACCGGTGGGTGAAGCGGTGAAGCTGCCTCAGGACGGGGGAACAATGGTCACGTGGTACTATTGGTGCGGCTGGTGCGGCATTGGCGATTGGCTGAGTTTGGTATCTTTATTTTGGTCAAATAAAAAGGTGCCTTTTCATGCTGACGCTCTACGCTCATTTTCAGCGGCAAGAAGGTCGCATGACCACAATTGACGCCGGTGTCAATTGAAATTCATGAAAAGGAAAACAGCGTCAAAATTTCGGCGTCTTCGCGCTGCTTTGGTTTTGACGCTTGAAGTTGGAAAAATCCAACTTCTTTTTCTTGACGCTGGCATCATAGGCCGGTATTCATAGTCTTTAAGATCGTCTTAAGTAATGTCTTAAGACGCTAATACGGCTCTGTGATTGGTTCATAACATCTTAAAATTGAACTTAAGACGGTCTTAAATAACTATGAATACCGGCCAATAGTGATGTCACGTGACACGTGACGACGCTCAACGCTGTTTTTCAGCGTCCCATGAATTGGCACCTTATAAAGTGTACATTTTTACGATGACGCTCGACGCTCGACGCTGGATTCGAACGTCAAATCTGGTCACGTGACTACGTTTGACGCTCTTATCTGTGGAGGGGGCAATAGCGTCAAACAACCAGCGTCGGAGCGGAGTCTATGGTATTCATAGTCGAATCTTGGGGATGCTAAAGTGACTCAATTACCGACAATTACAGTCAAAGGTCTAATTTTGAAACGGTTTTATAGATCGCAAAATCCTTTTACAGGAGTAAAGTATAGGTACTAATCAAGGGTGGGAATGTAAAATAATTAGTAATAATTGAAAAAAATTAAAAATGCTGTTACCTCATTTTCTAATATAAACAGTTGTATAAGTAATATGTACGAAATGAAATGTTCCCACCCTTCAGAAGACGTGCACAAACAATAACGTATCTTTGAAATTGAGATTGAAAGCCTGGAATAAAAATGAGACGTTCGAAGAAATTATAACCTAAGCAAGCCTGCAAAGCTGCTTAGGAACGGCTTTTCCCAAATTTTAGCCAAATTAATTAACGAATCTCATTATGCTCGTTTTAATCAGTAATATCAGCCGCAAGCTGGTACATAGCCGGATTTTCCATTTTGGCTCTTAAAAAATTTATAATAAATAAAATATGGACTCGCAGCTAAGCAACACGACAGAGGTCGGTAGTGTTCCTCCTGTCGACCCTTAAGTACGATCTTAAGATGCCATTAACCAATCACAGAGCCGTATTAGAATTTTAAGATATTACTTAAGACGGTCTTGAAATAAAATCTGATTATGAATACCGGCCATAGGCCTATGGCAGGTATTCATAAGTCTTTAAGATCGTCTAAAGTAATGTCTTAAGACGCTAATACGGCTCTGTGATTGGTTCGTTGCTTATTGCCTGATCTACAATAGCTGTAGTAAGCTGTAGTAAGCCTCAAGATGTAAGAAATTGACCAATCACAGTCGATTATTCGCCTCACATTCGCCTGTAATTAATCAATTTCTTAAGGCTATTCTACAATTGCGTAAGAGTAAGGAGTAAGAGTAAGAGTAAGAAATTGACCAATCACAGTGAGAATTTGAGGTGAATAATCGACTGTGATTGGTCAATTTCTTACTCTTACTCTTAACTCCTTACTCTAACGCAATTGTAGAATAGCCTTTACGGCTTGAGGCTTACTACACCTTACTACAACTATTGTAGATTGGGCATATATCACCTACCGTGGATTTCTACAGCGCGCATTATTTTGGTGGTTATCACTTTACTGCTTGACTAGTTGACGTTGCTTTAAGGGTGCGTTCCCACACTATACGTGTCGCGCGTCGCGTCACGACGCCGCGTCATGAGTTATCCAATCAAAACGTTTCATTTTATGACGTCATTTCCGACAAGATCTCGCGTCGAAAATGACGTCATAAAATGAAACGTTTTGATTGGATAACTCAAGGTGCGATTTCATTGACGCTTGAAACCAGCGGCAGCGTCAAGAAAATGTAGTGGGGGAAGAAGTTCCGTTGAATTTTGCGGTACGCTAAAAAGTTGAAACGGTCTGAACTTCTTTCTCCACTACATTTTCTTGACGCTGCCGCTGGTTTCTAGCGTCAATGAAATCGCACCTTTTTTCACTCTTTAAGGCTTCCGCATAATGGAATATATAAGGAATAAGTAACATATATTAGCGATTAGGACTAAAGAATCAAGAATAAAGTTGAATGCACGATGAAAAATACAGGCAACAGAAACAGGGAATAACACAGGCAATAGATTTTTAATCTATTGGAAACCGTACGTGTATTAATATTATACCAACTTTATTCCTCTGATTTCTTATTTCTAATCGCTAATATCTGTTCCTTGTTCCTTATGTGTGCGTGCGTGCGTGCGTGTGTGCGTACGTGCGTGTGCGTGTGCGTGTGCATATGATGATGTATAAAAAGTATAATATTAATTAAACTTGCCCGTTATACCATTAATCGGGTTTTATAACATGAGTAGTTAATTGCGTAAAATGTCGTATAACGCTCGTTAAATCTGGTTTTATATAGCACCAGTTGATATAGAAAACGTATAAACATAATGGTCTACACAGATTATTAAAGCAGGTTCTGCAGGTTTAATTAAGAATTAACATGAATGCAGGCGATTCTTATTTAAAACAATTTTTAATTTCATTATTTTTAGAATTATGTTTAAAACATTATAGAGATAAGATAAATAAACTGAATAATGTTCATGCTGATAATTTCGCAATAATTATATGTATATTAAATGTATATTATCCCTTCGCGGGTAACGTCGGGTCACTCGTGCCCTGGCGAAAGTGACTGTCCTGTATGTCAAGTGTCTGTTTATATAAATATATTGTTTAAACAAATGAAAAAATCGGCGATATCGCGATTGATCCTTAAAGTAGAATAGTTAATAATAAGGTAACATGAATTTTTTCAGATTTTTTTAGAACACTTTAAAGTATTTTTTAGGCGTCGGAAATGAGTGACCCGACATTACCAGTTACAGGTGCCGAAAAAGACGTTACCCGCGAAGAGTTATTATTGCGAAATTATCAGCATGTATATTCAGTTTATTTATCTTAGCTCTATATAATGTTTTAAACATAATTCTAAAAATAATGAGATTATAAATTGTTTTAAATAAGAGTCGCCTGCATTCATATTAATTATTAATTAAACTTGCAAAACCTGCTTTAATCTGTGTAGACGTTTTGTTGTACTAATTTGATTTAATATTATATATATATATTTTTTTTAAATTAACGTTCCATAATTGCGATTTGAACGATTTATCGGTTTTCTTCTTTCCTATTTGTATTCCCGACCAACTTGAATATTTATCGAGCCCATTTTCTAGCATGATGATAACTTTCTTATGATTATTTATTTTTACCTTATAGTCATTGTTATCTAGTATAATTAGTTAGTTATTTATTCATTCGCCTAGAAGAAAACAAGGATGCATCACAAAACAGTTATAGTGGAACAGTGGAACAGCTAGTTTTTCACGACAGTCTCATTCTCATATATCAGGCCGCGAGTATTAGACTAACAAACAGAGCTAAGTAAAAACTTATCAGTGTCAAATACATCTGTACACGTGTCCCTCTTTAACGTTTGCCAGCATATATGACTTTCTAATTTCTATTTGTACTTGTTCCCTAAAAGAGATAACCTCCACAAATAGGGCATGATGACCTACTTGAAAGAAACGAAGAAATGATTAAATTAAAAAACAAGACTAAATATTGGAGAGGGAACTTTTTGCTGCAGGTTTTATATACACAGAATTAAGTGCGTGAACTTATTTCCTTCCTTCGCAGTCGACTCGTAGCGCATCGCTGGTCGCGTTTGGCAGCCGAGATTTGTAGCGAACAAAGAGGAATTTTATCATCAGTTTTTGTCAATCTGTTTAATCAGTCATTGTGACATGAATTTCATGAACTAATTCAAATCACGTGCGTAAGAGGTGAGCTCTATTTGATTTTTCCTTCCTGTAACTCTTTGCTGTATACCTCTTCTGTTTAGAATTAAGAAGTACAATTATCTCGACAATTATGCTGAATGTAAGAAAATGAAGCTAAAAAGGATTTGTAGTAAAAAAGATTTAGGTTTGCAATATTAGTTATATTATTAGTACTTAAATCTTAAAAACTGCTTTATAAGTATGCAGTCTATAAAACTATTAAGAAATGTATTGTTTCAGTGAATAAGATTTCTTTATTTTGTTCAAGCAAGAGTAACTAACAAAAATGGCAGAACAACAATGTATGGAAATAAAACTCTCTGTACCCTGGGGTCACGTTGCTGCCAAAACCTATGGCTCTCCCACAGGAAAGCCAGTCTTACTAGTGCACGGTCAACAAGATAACTTGGGATCTTTTACTAGACTGATGAAGTATTTACCAAAAGAATTATTTTATTACGTATGCATAGATTTACCTGGCCACGGATGGTCGTCACCCTTTCCATCTTGGATGATAGTAGACATAACAGTTTACGCTCATGCATTATATTTCATCTTAGAAGCTCTGCAGTGGAAAATGTTTATTTATATAGGACACAGTTTGGCAGCGCAAATAGCTGTCATGTTCAGTATTTTTCAACCAAATAGAATCAGGAAGTTAATTTCTCTTGATGGGCTTCTTATGGGTCCTCAGGACAAAGATTACGTAATACATTTTTATACAACGTCTACACTTTTGGTAAAAGCCTATCATAAAACCGAAAAACCGCAATCTTACACTAAAGCAGAAATATTACATGCTCTTAAGACTATGAGAATGTGTTCTTTAAATTCCGAAGCTGCTAATGCGCTGTTTGAGCGTGCAGTTACGAAAGTAAATGGGAATGGGAAGTATATATATAATAGAGATTTGCGAGTAAGACATCATCCTCTTTTATTTATGAATATGGATGAATGTCAGAAGTTTAATAACAAGCTTTCAGTTCCAATATACCTCTTTCTTCCATCTGACGGTGTTCTTCTTCAATATGAAGAACTTAAATTAGCGCTGAAAACGATAAAAACTAAAACCATATTGGAAATAATTAATACAGACGGAAATCATGACGTTCATAATAATAATCCTGAAAAAATTGCGCCATTTATATGTGAAATATTGAACAGTGACAATTTCAGCAAACTGTAGACAATTGTGTGTGTGTGTGTATGTGTGTATATGTATTAACAGATTGCCTATTTAAATTAGAATTTTTTCATGGAAAAACATTGATAATGT